AGGAAGGATTTACCGGCACGTCACTCGAGGTTGGAGCCTAGAAGCGCCCGTAGCGCTACCGAGAGATGCGTAATCCCCGTGCCCGGTACAATTTGTCCTGCCTTGATCTTGTCTTGGAAGTGCGGCCGTTGGAATCCTCCGTGATAGCGACGGTTATATATGTTTAGGGTAGGCGAGGGTTTTTGGTCCAGATGGCCGGGTTTTCCCTTGCACCGTTACTGTTTAGAGTCCCTAGGTCTGATCAGGGGTAACCATGCCCCACGGATGGTTTGCCACTTGCGTGAAAAACCAGGGAGGGTGTTCGTGTGTTTGGATACGGACAGGTATTGATCGACCGCAGTAACGGATATATTCGCAGATAGGAACGTAGACATACCATTTTGGGGTTCTTGTGTTTGTGACCCCTGCTTCTCTGTTTTCCGGAGGCACTCTTCTTCTTCTCTTCTCTTGCTTCTGCGTTTCTAATACAAGCGATATTCAGTCTCTCCCTTCCAAGTCGCGGACATATACAACAAAATCAGGAACCGTGCTGCCCCGCCCCCCTCGTGCATCGTTAAAGGAAACTTCACGTTGTGTTTGTCATCGCAATGGGACACACTAACATGTATCCGAATTTAGATTGTACCTTGCCGGTGCCTGGCTTCTGTCCTGCCAAATATTGTGCCCTACCTACGCTGGAGCACACAGGAACCAACGAAGAAGAAAAGTTACACGGAGAAAAAAAAAGCAGCAACTTGAAACCAGGTTGTATGGTGTAGCTCCCCAAGCCAAAAAACCAAATATTCGCCATCACAAGAAAGCTACAAGCTTTCATCATCACAAAACAATAGGGGTCTGTTGCACGACAATAACCTACGCGATACAACCGACAACATGATACTTGCAACACTAGTCTACAGTACAACCAAGCTGTATTCACGCGCCGCCACCAGGTTGGCATACATCCTCCCCGTTTGAACAGACAGTACAGGGTCAGGCTCAGATTCATTATCAACCGGGTCCCCGAATTCGTCTCATCCCTGACAGTCAGCGGTGAAGCCCCCCACTATACGACTCACTGCCGTCCCCATCAAACGAATCTAGCTCTACTTCATCTAGTCCACGTTTCCGCACTATTTGGACGCCACCGTGAGTGGATGGTTGTTCCCTTGTATTCGGAAGCGCGACCCAACTTCGTGACAAGTGCTACGAGGATCTGCCTACACTGCGACACCCGCCTTATGACCTGCAAACACGTACATCGCTGAAATCCGCCCAGGCCTACGAGGTGGTCGACCTTGCGTCGATTGTACACTGTACGGTAACCGCTGCATCTCTTTCGACGTGGGCAGCCAGATAATAACAATATTGCAAAACACGTGGTACCAAAGAGGGTTTCATCATGGTATTTTGTCCCGTCGAAGACCCCAGCGGATACCTGACAGCGTACGTACGTCTCCGTTTCCATCATTGTTGATTGGTTTTACAGCCAGGTTTTCGAGGAACCGAAATTACTCCCTTCCCTCAACCAGGACGGCGGTTGCTCCAATTCTGGCCACGATTTCCTGATCGGCAGCGGGAAACAGCACGACAAATCGAACGAATGCGGTAATGGACTCTCCGTAACCAGTAACACTGGTCTGTGTTTCCGAAGCTATCGTCATCTACTTGATATGAGAACACCACGGGCCGAGAGAGAGAGATGCCATTGCGGCACTCACACGTCGAGCGTAGGTGCTGGCTCCAGCCTTGTCGCCCTCCGGGACAAGCACTTTCTCGACGCCCGCACGAGATATTCTCCTCCTGCTTAAGCGATGAACAAAGTTCAAAACGGGACGCTCACACACGTGACCGCTGTTGCTTTACTCTTGAAACCACGGCGATGAAGCTCGCTTTCGGTTTTGCTCAGAATCGAGTTCCACGCTGCATCTCCATCACCTTCCTCAAGGAATGTGAAGCCATTCTCGAAATCGATCGGATTGTGGTTTGCCATTTCATCGCCTTCTTCTTCTGCGGTGGAAAACGCGAACATGTCATGTTGTGCGCGGCCCGCATGCAGAAGAAAACGCGCGGCAGAATGAGCCATCGCGAGACATGATGACCGCGGTGAACTCCTTCAGCTTACAACCGACCGTGGTGATGCGATCTCCAGTGTTGTCTGTTGACATCCGTGCCTACCCGTCCACCCACTCTTGTATTGTGCCTGACGTTGTTGTGACAACACTACGCATTGTCAAAACGCTACGTCACGATGGTAGTTACTGTCGCGGCCGCCGTGTTCCTACTTTAAAGCACGACTACGTTATCAGCAGCGCCCAGCGATGTCCTACAGTGCCTGCACCAACCTTCGCTGTCGCACGGGTCGGGCAATGACTCTTCTCCACCTCACTCTGCCCAGCCCGTCGAGCCATAGGCCTCCTCTTTCCCTCCGCTAACGTCCATGAAGCCAAACCCTTCATGCACTTGAAGGAACACAAGCGTTTGGTACCATCGCTCTTTATATGAAGTGACCACATCCTGCCTCCGTCTACCGCACAACTGGCGTTCGAGCACCTAGAGTGAAAATGAAGGGACACAAGCGTTCGACACTACCGCTCTTGATGTGAAGCGAAACGTCCTGTCCCTGTCTACCGCACAACTGGCGTTCGAGCACTGGCGTTCGAGCACCTAGAGTGAAAATGAAGGGACACACGGGTTTGACACTACAGCTCTTGATATCAAGTGACCACATCCTGCCTCTTGCCTACCGACCAACTGGCGTTCGAGCACCCAGAGTGAAAATGAAGGGACACAAGCGTTTGACACTACCGCTCGTGATATCAAGTGACCTGCGTCTGTCTACCGAACAACTGGCGTTCGAGCACCCAGAGTGAAAATGAAGGGACACAAGTGTTTGACGCTACCGCTCTTGATATCAAGTGACATGTCCTGCGTCTCTCTACCGCACAACTGGCGTGGCGTTCGAGCACCTAGAGTGAAAGTGAAGGGACAAAAGCGTTTGATAGTACCGTTCTCGATGTGAAGTGACCACATCATGCCTCTTCTACCGCAGAACTGCGTTCATAAAGTGAAAATGACGAGATACAAGCGTCTGGCAGAACCGGACGGTCGCCACCCACCTCCTTCATGTTTCGCGCTGCGTTCTTGCACTTTTTTCATTGCCACGGTTCTTCTCTTTTCGCTTCAAGGATGACAGACTCGGCGGGATCTCTGTCCTCGCCAGTGTCGCCGCTCAAGCCGTCTGAGACCTGCACGCAACGTCACGAAGCAGGGAGCATCACCGAATACGACAAGCAGTTTCCCTCAAGCTTGGTCTTGAATATGTCGGAAGCATGCGTGCAAGCAGGTGTTGCTTGTTGGGCTCACCAGCTTCACCGTTGCGTGTAGAGCTTGGGACGCCAGCAGCATCTTCAGGTCACCACCTCACCACCGAGGCTTACAATATGTGGGACGGAAGCACGTTACATTCTCGACGTCTCGGCGATCGTGCGTGCAACGCCCACGCTGTGGGCTGTGAAAGCGTAACCCAAGCCCGCGTGGATGACTTCTGGGAAGTGCTTCGAGAAGTAGGGCAGTATACGCCCTCCTGATACGAGCTCCTCGGTGTTCGCTGCTGTCCCCGCAAGGACCACGAGCTGCAGTTGCGACCAGTACATACCCAACACCCAAAAGCACTTCGCTGCGACCAGTAGTCTACATATCATGAGTTCGAGCCCCGGCAGAGTGAGTTATTTTCTCACTAAATACATCCTGGTCCAGGATGAAAGCAACTCGTTGCAAAGCTCGTTGTTAGTAAACCATAATCGACTTCGTAAGTCGCGAGGGAAGGGATTGCTGTACCCTTCTCGCGATGAAAATACCTCAGGCAGGAACCGCAGGAGGGATCCGCCCCCCCCCTTCTATGTGACCCCGGTTGGGTCGTCTAGCTAGTAGAAGTGGATGATAGGGGCCAGAGGGGCAGTCGACAGAATCCGATGATGGGAGAACAAAAAAAAACCCAACCCCAACAAGCACTTCGCCCAAGCACGATATTCCACCACCGCCTACCCACAAGACTACCGATCTCTCCTTGCGCATCTTGTTCGGGATGACCATGGTGGCGTGGCGACCCAAATCCTACTTGTCCTAAAGGGGGATAATACCGGTGTAGATAGAGCAAGCAAGCGTTGGATCAGGCCATTAGACAGGTGGGGCCAGAGCATCAAGCGGGCCGAGCTCTGTCGCGATTTTATGCAGAGACATATGAGTGGCGTCATAGACCGCGCGCACCTTCTGGCCATACTTTGCCACCCTGCCCAACAACTACTAGCGTACTGTTTACACCCTTTTCTATCATTTCTGAGGAGGCCAACCACCTCCAAAGGAAGGACCATATTGAACAAAAACTTGGCATTACATATATTTATCGTGCACCAGGCCAACTGACGGTCCCCCTCTTCCTCCATTGGCAGAACGTTGGACGACAATATGCCAGCATCTCTCCACGGGGAGTACGGAACAGTCTCGCTCAAACGTACAATACGTTGAGACGAAGGCATTGATAGACGTCAACGTATCGCTTGAGCACCTTCGGCCAAGCCGGCTCAGCAAGTCTTCGGTTTGCTCTGAGAAGACTACACTGGCAACAGAACACACGACGTTAGAATGCGTGTAGGCGCATTGATGCAGGTGTGATCAGATTTCTCGATATTGTATACCATACTTGATATGCATGTTTGCTTTTGGGGCAATCGCCTTTGCATACTCAGCAGTGACGTGCGCGTGCACTATTTGATCGTTGCTATCTTACTATTCAAGTAAGAAGGGTGCACATCGTTTTTAGCTGTAGCAGTGCTACAGCAGTGCAATAGCTGCAGTAGTGCTACATTGCAATAATCAAAAACTAAAGCACCAGCTGTGAGAGCGACCAAATTACTGCTTGCAGCAGCCACTGCTTTCGTGCTACACTACAGCACTATACAGCAGTAGACTATAGACTAGTACTTGGTGATCGATAATTCGGGTGGCTCAGTTGTGTGTGATGGGAGTGTAGAGCAGCTCGGCCATGACGGGCCGTAGGGGTAGGTAAAGTCGTACAGACGTGCTGGAAAACGTGTTGTATCCGTGTTGTATTCATCGGGGGCGTGCTTGAGCTCGTCATTCCATCACGGCATCAAGTCACGCATAACGCTCAAACACCCAAAACGAATCTCCATGAATGTCCACCAATCTACCACACTCCCAAGGAAAACATAATCTTCTTGTTCCTCCGTAGTTCGTCACTGCAATACCAGCATATGTATACGCAATATACCACCCGCATGCTACGCTACGAGTATATCGAATACTTGGAAGCATGTTGTCGTCATGTATTTGGAGCCACGGTATCAAGGCGCGCAGGCGCGCAAGCAGCACAACAACATTCCAAAAAGTTACAATCACGTGTCCGAGACAGGAAAACCAGAGGAAAGAGGATATCCTTTGAGACGCTCAGTCCACCGCTCCCACACCCCGCTCGTTAGCCCGATGGGTGCGTGTGACCTTTCGTCTCCTTCGAGATTTGTTTTCCCCTGTTTTTTAGCGCTCTCTCCTTGAATCATGAGCGCTATCGCCGGGTTTGACCCTGCCGTGTTGGA